GAATGAAAATGGTNATTATGTGGACTAATTACAATTAGGTAAAATTATTTATTATATAGAATTTTGTGAATGAAAATGGTATTGAGTTGATTTTGAAATAACTTAAGAATTTAGGGGGAGGCAAGTGAAATTAATTAAGTTGATTGAAATATCTTCATATATGTGTCATGCATTGGTGGTGGGCCTTTCAAGTGTATGTGTGACGTGTGTGTGTGTGTGTTTGACTAGGTGTAGAAGTGTGTGTGTGTTTAACTTATGGACTAGTGTGTGTGTGTGTGTGAGTCTCGTTTCTTTACAAAAATTGTGAGTGAAAGTGAGGGTGAGCAGGAGAGCAAGAGAAGAAGAAGGGAAAAAAAATAAAAATAAAAAAATAATGTATGCACGTGGGTCTATTTGAACCGTGAGCAAGGAAGGTATGTGGTACTTAATTTATACATGGGTTGTGATTAATTTTAGTATATAGATGTTGTACATATATGAGCTGTTTTAACATGTTTTAAATTAATGACTATTTTAATTTATTTCATATACTATTTTAGTTTAATTTGGTGGGCTATTCACGTTCAAATAATGGGCTATTTTAATTTAAATTTCATAGACTGATTTTTGAGTTTAATTAAGTGAGTTAACATAACTTAGGGGGCTGTTTTGCATTGATTAAACGTGTACATGAATTTAAGTGTAGCGGTTTTAAATAAAAATGTACGATAAAAGTTGGACATGGGTGCCGGTAATGCCGAAACCTAATTTCTAAATATTATTATCACATGTGTGAGTTTTAATCCAAATCACATGAAATTTTGCATGCTGCATTTTTAAATAATACTTGATGTGATAATGTAAATTTCGATGCGAAATGCACGAAATGTCGTAAGTGCGATTTTTAGAATTCGGGGTTGAAATGTGTGGAAATGGACCCCTGGTCATTTTGTTTGACATACTTAATCCTAATTGTGATAATTGCAATTAATGTGAGTGATTTTGAAGATTTGGGAAGGCAATATGATCCCTACATCTAATGTACCAGTATGTGAGTGAACGGTGCGATAACTGAGGTTACCGGGACACTTTGGGTTGAATCGTCTTCCATGCATTAATGCATGATCAATTTTTCAATTTGATAAATATGTTGATNGGGACACTTTGGGTTGAATCGTCTTGCATGCATTAATGCATGATCAATTTTTCAATTTGATAAATATGTTGATATTTTAATAATAAATGTGTTAGGTGGAACAAGTGGGACAGTTGGTATTGAAACAGATACAGAAACACCGAAAGAATTCACTGGTAGGTCCGGCGGCTCGTCGTAGCTCTGTACACTTAAGGTGGGTGTATACCTTTATATGTTTTGGAAATACTATTATACTATGATAGTAAATGATAGAATTTAATATCAATTCTCTAAGATTATGTGTTATGTGCTTATGTGATTAGATGATGTTTTGTACTGTGTATTATGTATTGTGGAATGTGGTGCACTGTTTGAGACAGGGGGTCGATGCCTGGTCACTAGGCGTGCAGTGATTTGCTAGCACTATGGTGTTCACGGAAGGTTCGGGAGATACAGATCCATGTAGGATCGATCACCCGATGAGGGGTAGTATGAATGTGATGTGGCTTGTGAATTATTTGGAATTGGATTGATGTTGTTGTTTGATACGTGTATCTACGTAGTATTTACCTATTTCAGTGTATTACTATCGTTTCCATTTCATATACAACATGTATACTCACTGAGCGCATGATTTAGCTCACACCCCTACAGTTTTTCCNAGGTTCGGGAGATACAGTTCCATGTAGGATCGATCACCCGATGAGGGGTAGTATGAATGTGATGTGGCTTGTGAATTATTTGGAATTGGATTGATGTTGTTGTTTGATACGTGTATCTACGTAGTATTTACCTATTTCAGTGTATTACTATCGTTTCCATTTCATATACAACATGTATACTCACTGAGCGCATGATTTAGCTCACACCCCTACAATTTTTCCTTTTCAGGTACTGTATAGGAGGATACAGACCAGTCCACTGTCCAGTCGATTGAGTTTTGTACAACAATAGTGTGATATCACTCAGGTTGAGTGTCAGTATGACTAATTTTTGGATTATATATTATATTTGTGAAAGATTATTATTATAGCAGTTTAATAGTGTATATTTGTAAATAGACTCAACAGTCATACTTTGTGATGTATGCTATGTGGGTGTGGGAGTTTGTATCTGTCTATAACCTCAGAAACAAATAATTGGTACAGGTTATGAGACAGATTTACTATCATGCTTATTGACTAAGGTGATGAATGGTATTGTTACACCTGTGAGATTAATTAGTGTTTTATTAATCTAGATTATATATATATGTAAACAAGTGTATCGAAGACCTAGTCGTGTCTCATCCCTGGGGGACCGGGATGGGGCGTGACACACTATACATTCTAAATTTCAACCCCAGAGCCTCCACTTCCCCCAGTAGGTGACGGATCGAGCCACATTCCAAAGGATGTATCCCTCTCTTTCAAGTGTTTTNTATCTGTCTATAACCTCAGAAACAAATAATTGGTACAGGTTATGAGACAGATTTACTATCATGCTTATTGACTAAGGTGATGAATGGTATTGTTACACCTGTGAGATTAATTAGTATTTTATTAATCTAGATTATATATATATGTAAACAAGTGTATCGAAGACCTAGTCGTGTCTCATCCCTGGGGGACCAGGATGGGGCGTGACACACTATACATTCTAAATTTCAACCCCAGAGCCTCCACTTCCCCCCAGTAGGTGACGGATCGAGCCATATTCCAAAGGATGTATCCCTCTCTTTCAAGTGTTCTCTAGAGAACCACAAATATTATTTAGATTTAATTTAGGAATTTAATTTGTACACTTAATTAAATATTCTTGTTGAATTAAAATTAAATTATATTTTATATTGAAATTCATGACTAATCAAATGGTTGTATTGAATTAAATTTCTGATCATTTCTCCAAATTAGGTCACTATAACATTGCTCTTAAAAAGTNTTATTTAGATTTAATTTAGGAATTTAATTTGTACACTTAATTAAATATTCTTGTTGAATTAAAATTAAATTATATTTTATATTAAAATTTATGACTAATCAAATGGTTGTATTGAATTAAATTTCTGATCATGTCTCCAAATTAGATCACTATAACATTGCTCTTAAAAAATGAACAATGTTAGTGAGATCTAAAAATATAACTAATTTGTTGACATAGTAATGTGATTTCATTGTAACCATTAGATTAACACCAGGTTTAATGTTTGATGTGGTCCACAGTCAATCCAAATAAATATTATAGTAAATTAGGTCAATAAATTAAGTTATAATAACGTTACACCAAAAAAATTAGCAAAAGAACAATGCTACTTAAACGTAATTTACGAACCTAATGAATCACTGTAATTGGATTGACAATAGGCTCCGGTAATAATTGGGACCCGCAATCAATTCATTGGTGTTGATGATTTAGGTAGATTAGTAAATTATGTCTAAATAGTTNTACACTAAAAAAATTAGCAAAAGAACAATGCTACTTAAACGTAATTTACGAACCTAATGAATCACTGTAATTGGATTGACAATAGGCTCCGATAATAATTGGGACCCGCAATCAATTCATTGGTGTTGATGATTTAGGTAGATTAGTAAATTATGTCTAAATAGTTTTTTTTCATTAGCAAAATAATAAGATTAGTGTCACTTGCTAATTACACACTAAAATTTTCCTTCAGGCCAACCTTTCAAAAATTTTAAAAAGACACTAAATGGAATCGAAGTACACAAAATTGAAAATTCCTTGTAGAAATTTCGGTGAAGGAGGCAATTAAGCATCCAAAGCTGGCATTGATGCCTAATTCCCCGTGCTTCTTCTCTCTTTTTCATTGGCTTTATCTGCGAAGAAAGTCAACCCCCATTGACTACTGTTTCTTAAATGGAAATAAAAAAAGACGTATCAATGCACGAGATTTTTGTTATTGTGAGATTTGGAAAGAGTNAAGAAAGTCAACCCCCATTGACTACTGTTTCTTAAATGGAAATAAAAAAAGACGTACCAATGCACGAGATTTTTGTTATTGTGCGATTTGGAAAGAATTAGATGTACATAGTCTTATCTCTGCAAATAAAGAGACTCTTTCTGCAACTTAAATCTGTGACCTTTCACAATGAAATAATCTTACCATTGTGTCAAAGTCCACCGTCTCTTAAATGAAAATAGAACTGTATAAAAATATACACTTGGTTAGCACAACTATTACTCTGAACAAGAAAACTGCTAATATAAATCCAGCCTTACACCAAAAAAAGCACCAGTTAAAAAAATGGTCATAAAAAAGTTTAGCTAATAAATAAGACTGCCACCAATTTTTTTGTTGAGAAAAAAAAGGGGTGCGAACAAGGAAGAGCATTCAGTGATCACTCCGTTAGCCCCTCACCGATGGAATTATAAGGTTTCTGATTACGCCTGAAATACCTCTTGAGAGCAGACTTAACTAGGTTAACATAGCGACTAACCATCGAGTCCTAATGAGAATTTCAGGACTCAAACTCTTAACTTCTAAATGAGGAGTAAGATCGGTACCACCACTAAACCACCCCAGTCGGTGTAGACCGCCCCTATTTAATATCAGATCAAAACCTCCAAACCCATATAAACCCAACACCTCTCTCTCTCAAACACACACATCCTACCAACTCTTCATTGAGGAAGTTGAAATGTAACATACATTGCACAACAACAGTCTATATGTACAATTGGCAAATGGTATCTCTTCTTCTTCTTCTTTTAAGAAATGAAAGACTCTTCTGTGAAAAAGTATCAACCTCCACTACAAGGCAAGCAAGAGGAGGACCAAGATCAACACCAAGAGGACACCACCAGACCCTTCTTTCCTTAGAGTAAACTCCAAGGCTCTCCTCTTCTGTTTATTCTCCGCTTTCCAATCCTAGTTGTCCCAAAACACCACAGGCTGAGGCTCACATGGAAAGAAATCAATATGGGTTTGTTCTAATCTTCTCTGTTGTCATTGCCCTTGGCCTTGTCTCCTTCTCACTCTGTTTTGCTGCTGAATTCAAAAGATCAAAGGTATGCTATGTGTCCATCCGAATCATTCTTGATGCCTGTAGCTGTATCTGTTCATAGGAAAAATTACAATTTGACCCCATTAATTATGTTTGTTCATAACTATATTTAATTATGGACTCCATTTCATTTTGTCCATTGAACTATTGCAATTTTTGCACCGCTCCCTCAACTACTTGAATTAATTTCAGATTGCCCGAAACTAACATACTCTATTTTTGGATGAAAATTGTCGACGAGTCAGGATAAAGTGAAACAAATACACATAATTCAAAGGGAAAAACAAAGCAATTTTTTGTCAAATTTGTAACAGATATTAATCACTAGGACAATTTGAAACTAATAACATAATTGAAAGTGCAATGTGAGAAATATGATAGTTTAGTGACAATGTGAGAAAAAACTGATAATTCAGCCCTTGTTGATAAAAAGATTTCTTGTTTTGGTGTGTTTTGTAGAAGGGTGATCTCAGGATTGATGGAAAGCTATGTTATTTGCCAGAAAGTGGTGCATTCGTGCTTGGGATTGCTGCTCTTATCTGCCTCTTCATAGCTCAAATTCTTGGGAATGTTTTAGTATGCAGAAATCTCTGTTCAGGAAGGCAGAGAAGTAGTTGCAAAGCTAAAAAACCTACAAGTTCCAGCACTTTTCTGGTTCTCTCATGGTAAGGTGATCTATGTATATCCTTCCTAGTTAATTGTGCTTTAGGATTACTAATTCCCGTCTACAACGAGGTCTAAGAGAGAGAAATAGTTAGCAGTTTTACCCCATTCTAAAGAAATTGATTTTCGAACTCAAACGAGCACTTNGATCTATGTATATCCTTCCTAGTTAATTGTGCTTTAGGATTACTAATTCCCGTCTATAACGAGGTCTAAGAGAGAGAAATAGTTAGCAGTTTTACCCCATTCTAAAGAAATTGATTTTCGAACTCAAACGAGCACCTGCTTTATGAGTATTACGACTTTCGATAAATATGGCTCAATTTAAATTTAATCACAGCCCAATGGACAACCAACAATCAGTCACCAAAAGCACTATTTTTTTCATCAAATCAAACCACCTTCTCTTCACCATTTCCAAATGGCTCAAAATGCCATGTGGGGATCTGTAATTGGCACCAAGTTGACAGCTAGAATTGTTTTGGGGCAAACTTCAAGATAAAAGAACCTTCAAACATGGACAACTGTAGACAAATCTAATTTCTTAATATGCTCTGAGATTCAACTCCTAGGAAACAAGAAATGAATTAAAAGACAGAAGTTGTCTTGAGACAGTAATGTGAACAAGTTTTGAATTGAATAATATTTGGCAGGATCAGCTTTGGAATTGCTCTTATTTTAATAGGTGCGGCCACAAGCATGAACCAAAGGCAACCCTTTGGTGAAGGATGGTTAGACAGAGAGTGCTACATTGTTAAAGATGGTGTATATATTGGCTCAGCGGTACTGGTTCTAATCACGGTAAGTTCATCACTGGTTTCTGCGATCCTAACGAAAATGAAGAGCCAACTTGAGAAGGGCCAGAAGGTGCATGCCCAAGTTGAATGAGAGAGAGAGAGAGAGAGAGAGAGAGAGAGAGAGAGAGCAGAAGGAGAACAACCTGAGGCAGAGGGTACTGCCCCAGATGTGAAATGCACCAGTTGAAGCAGGCAAAGGGGCTCAACCCCTTCATAAGCAAAAGGCTGCAAAAGAGTGCAACTATTGTTTGAGGTTTGGTTTTGGGAGAGGGATAAAGAATAAAGCAATGTCATTGGGTTTGGATTTGGGGAATTAATACGAGGAGTCGAGGACTTGATTTATTATGATCACTGGATCAACAACCGATCCTAATTTTTTCCCGGAAAGTGTCAATTAATCTCATTTGAATATGTCTAATTTTTATGGAAATATAATTTGAATCCCAATTATGTTCAAGTATTCAAAAGGGAGATTCAAGCTTAAAATATCTAAAAAAAACAAATTTTCTTATATATTGGAATGTTTATGAATAGTTAAAAAAAAATAGGATTGGAAAAAAAAAATTAATTGATTTCTCTTGGCTACCATATTTATAGTCATTTGATGCTATCCTTTACCTTTACCCACCACCTTCAATCTTCGAGTTTCGTGGACCTGATTTTTTTTTTTAAATCATTTTGTAATGACTCTAATAATCATGATACAACTATAAATCTTATAGTTTTTGTTTCTTTAAAATGTTCTTTGTACTCTCAAGTTTATAACATTTTGCTCCCATTTTAATCCATCAATTGTTTGAGCATTGAATAAGACGCATCTTAAACCCCCCCCCCAAAAAAAAAAAAAAAAAAAAAAAAAACCAAAAAAAAGAGGCAATAGGATACATTATATATTAAAAGACAAAAAGCAAAGGAAATAAAGAAACAAGGGCTTTTTGTATTTTGTACATTGAAATATTTTAAAATTGTTATTTTGTATCTTTAAAGATTAAATTTTTCATGTTATTCCTTTAATATATCAATAGTATTACAAAGTGACATTTCTACTAGTTTTCATTATTTTTTTAATCAAAAGTTANTTGGGTTTGGATTTGGGGAATTAATACGAGGAGTCGAGGACTTGATTTATTATGATCACTGGATCAACAACCGATCTTAATTTTTTCCCGGAAAGTGTCAATTAATCTCATTTGAATATGTCTAATTTTTATGGAAATATAATTTGAATCCCAATTATGTTCAAGTATTCAAAACGGGGATTCAAGCTTAAAATATCTAAAAAAAACAAATTTTCTTATATATTGGAATGTTTATGAATAGTTAAAAAAAAAATAGGATTGGAAAAAAAAAATTAATTGATTTCTCTTGGCTACCATATTTATAGTCATTTGATGTTATCCTTTACCTTTACCCACCACCTTCAATCTTCGAGTTTCGTGGACCTGATTTTTTTTTTTAAATCATTTTGTAATGACTCTAATAATCATGATACAACTATAAATCTTATAGTTTTTGTTTCTTTAAAATGTTCTTTGTACTCTCAAGTTTATAACATTTTGCTCCCATTTTAATCCATCAATTGTTTGAGCATTGAATAAGACGCATCTTAAACCCCCCCCCCAAAAAAAAAAAAAAAAAAAAAAAACCAAAAAAAAGAGGCAATAGGATGCATTATATATTAAAAGACAAAAAGCAAAGGAAATAAAGAAACAAGGGCTTTTTGTATTTTGTACCTTGAAATATTTTAAAATTGTTATTTTGTATCTTTAAAGATTAAATTTTTCTTGTCATTCCTTTAATATATCAATAGTGTTACAAAGTGACATTTTTATTAGTTTTCATTATTTTTTTAATCAAAAGTTAACTCATTGATACTGACGAAATAACTAACGAAAAACTAACATAAGAGTTACATAACAATATTTTTTATACATTTAGGGTTCAATGTGAAAATTTAATTTTTGAGAGTGTAAAATAAAAATTTTAAAATCTTTCGTGGTACAAAGTATAATTCGTCCAAGAAACAATAAAAAAACTTAAAAATTATGGCCATGGGATTATCGATGAGTCTCATCATTTAATATATTTCACTAACAATCTAATAGTCACAAATGTATTAAGATCTTAGATTACATCCTAGTAATATTAGTGCCAAAAGAAAAAGTAATATTATTTAGACCTAATTTATTGATATAATTAATGACTTAATTATTTATAACCTTAGATTGATAGTTGACTCTAATATTTGTTGGAACTTGCAACTCTTATCCAAATTTGAGCAAAAAAAAAGATAAAAATTTTAAAAAAAAGAAACTCAAATTTCAATGATTAATTAATTTGATATTAATTTGATAAAATTATAGATTAATTTTGTATTAATTTGAGTAAGAGTAATTAAATAAAATGAGAGTTTTAGTAAGGGTAATTATGTAAAATTACGTCATCTGTTAAGTCTGTTAACAGACAAAAACTGATAGAGGAATGAAGTGATAATTCAAAAAGTAGAGGGAACATAAATAAAATATGACTTAAATTCAAGGGATATCAATGAAATTTACATTTAAAAATAATACTTAGGATAAGAAAGAATAAAGGTTAAAAAAACAAAAGAGAAAAAGGGCTTAGAGAGGCCGGTACCTCTAAAAAAATTTAATAGGATAAAAATACACTTTTTAAAATAATTGGGATAGAAGTACATACGCTAAAAAAAAATCCATAAAAACCATTTTACCCCTACCATAAATAGTGCATACCTAATTAAATGTGAGACTTTTAAGATTCCTTTTGATATTTGTGTATCATTTGAATTTTGAAATTTCATATATATACACACACACACACACACACACACACGTAATACAGTGACACACTCAACAAAAAAAGAGTAACATCAAACAGTGACACACTCAACAAAAAAATAGTAATATCAGATAGTAACACACTCAACAAAAAAATAGTAACATCAAACAGCAACATAAATATTTTTGTTGAGCGTATCACTGTTTGATGTTACTTTTTTTTTGTTGAGCGTNACACACACACACACACACACGTAATACAGTGACACACTCAACAAAAAAAGAGTAACATCAAACAGTGACACACTCAACAAAAAAATAGTAATATCAGATAGTAACACACTCAACAAAAAAATAGTAACATCAAACAGTAACATAAATATTTTTGTTGAGCGTATCACTGTTTGATGTTACTTTTTTTTTGTTGAGCGTGTCACTATTTAATGTTACTATTTTTTTGTTGAGCGTGTCACTGTTTGATGTCATTGTATTATGTGTGTGTATGAAATTTTAAAATTCAAATGATACATAAATATTAAAAAGAATTTTGAAAGTCTCATATTCAAGTATGTATGCACTATTTATGGTAGGGGCAATTATGAAATATACTTTAGAAAGAATTTAAAAATGTGTACTTATTGACAACTATTTGATGAAAAAAAGGACTTAAAGGAGNAAAATTCAAATGATACATAAATATTAAAAAGAATTTTGAAAGTCTCATATTCAAGTATGTATGCACTATTTATGGTAGGGACAATTATGAAATATACTTTAGAAAGAATTTAAAAATGTGTACTTATTGACAACTATTTGATGAAAAAAATGACTTAAAGGAGGATAAATTTAAAAGTGATAATTAAAGCCAAATAAGTTTTGGAATAACTACTCACGTTCCATTATCTCAAGAAAAAATTCCACCACGTGCACACCACGTGTTACTAGTAAAGCAGATGATGTCGAATAAGCCACACACACCATCCACAGTCCTACTTCTACACCGAGTCTGGTGTTTTTCAACCCCACCCACCGGTAACTCTCTCTCTCTGATTCTCCGTTCCACTTTNACTACTCACGTTCCATTATCTCAAGAAAAAATTCCACCACGTGCACACCACGTGTTACTAGTAAAGCAGATGATGTCGAATAAGCCACACACACCATCCACAGTCCTACTTCTACACCAGGTCTGGTGTTTTTCAACCCCACCCACCGGTAACTCTCTCTCTCTGATTCTCCGTTCCACTGTATATTCTCACTCTCATGTAGATATTCGTTTTCTCCGTAGTAGAGTCCCACTCTCTGTCCCATTCTCCCAGACCATTCTTTCCTACGATCCCCATATGTTATTCAAACGCTAAACCCAGAAGCTCTAAATTTCAAAACACTAATTCAAAATAACAAGATGGAGCAATTGAAAACAATCGGTAGGGAGCTCGCAATGGGCTCCCAAGGGGGGTTCGGACAGTCTAAAGAATTTCTGGACCTCGTAAAATCAATCGGTGAAACTAATTCCAAAGCCGAAGAGGATCGAATAGTCCTCCATGAGGTCGAAAGCCTAAAACGTCGAATCGCCGAGCCTGAGATCCATAAAGGAAAGCTCAAAGAGTACATAATTCTCCTCGTTTACATTGAGATGCTAGGCCATGATGCCTCTTTTGGGTACATACACGCTGTTAAAATGACACACGACGAGAATTTACTCATGAAACGAACTGGGTATTTGGCGGTGACACTGTTCTTGAACGAGGACCATGATTTGATTATATTGATTGTGAATACGATTCAGAAGGACTTGAAATCAGACAATTATTTGGTGGTCTGTGCGGCTTTGAATGCGGTGTGTAAGTTGATCAATGAGGAGACTGTTCCTGCAGTCTTGCCTCAGGTGGTTGAGCTCTTGAGGCACCCAAAAGAAGCAGTAAGGAAGAAGGCAGTAATGGCGCTTCATCGGTTTTATCAGCGGTCGTCTTCTTCGGTTATCCATCTTGTCTCCAATTTCCGAAAAGTATGTCTTTTTTGCACAGCCTCTGTGTGTGTGTGTGTGTGTGTGTTGGGGGGGGGGGTTATTTCTTGACAATGTAAGGGATATAATCGTGTCTGCATTGTACAATTACAATGAACTTCCAAAGCATTTATTTCCAGTAAATAACAGTTTAGCGTGATTATTCTTTCTAATTATGAGCTGGGCAGTGAAAAGGATTTAACTGCCACATTGGATATTTTTATAAGAATTTTTATCAATTTTGTGTGTACTATGCGGTGAAGAGGGATTATAAGAACGCAATGGGACAAATTGGAAATTACAGGATCGGAAATTGAGTATGATGCCAATAATGACGATTATCTATAATATGGGTCCTTTTTTTAGTGGATTTAATGTATGCTTGCTATTTAGTACCATAGATTCCAATGTAGACACTGGAGCAATTTAATTTCACTCGATGACAAGATTTGCATCTCTCCACTCTCTGATTGAGNGTACAATTACAATGAACTTCCAAAGCATTTATTTCCAGTAAATAACAGTTAAGCGTGATTATTCTTTCTAATTATGAGCTGGGCAGTGAAAAGGATTTAACTGCCACATTGGATATTTTTATAAGAATTTTTATCAATTTTGTGTGTACTATGCGGTGAAGAGGGATTATAAGAACGCAATGGGACAAATTGGAAATTACAGGATCGGAAATTGAGTATGATGCCAATAATGACGATTATCTATAATATGGGTCCTTTTTTTAAGTGGATTTAATGTATGCTTGCTATTTAGTACCATAGATTCCAATGTAGACACTGGAGCAATTTAATTTCAGTCGATGACAAGATTTGCATCTCTCCACTCTCTGATTGAGTGGAGGGTATCTTGCTATAAACCAATCGTAAGGGATGTTGATGTTCTATCTGCTAAACTATATACTTAAACTACTTACAGAAAAATTTATTTGTAACCTAAAGTTTATTTGACTTAACTCAGTATATTTATAAATAACTTATTCTGTAATATATTCCTAAAAGAGAATTCAAATGTTACTTGCTTTTGAGACTGATAAATTTTAAAATCTTAAAAAAATTTATTGTTGCAGATGCTTTGTGATAATGATCCAGGGGTTATGGGTGCGGCACTTTGCCCTCTCTTTGATCTTATCACAATTGATGTAAATTCTTATAAGGATTTAGTCATCAGCTTTGTTAACATTCTTAAGCAAGTAGCTGAACGTAGATTGCCGAAGAGTTATGATTACCATCAGATGCCTGCTCCATTCATTCAGGTATGCCACGTACATATTCTTTTTCTGTATCTCAGATTCTTTTATCTGTCAAACAATGTTTGTTATAAAGAGTTCTTGCACAGGAATAATTAAGGAGATGATCACATTCTTTCAGAAAACTTGTCAAAGATCGGTTGACTTGATAAAAAGGATTTTTTTACTTGACTGTCTTAATGCAAAATTCACCGAAGTTTGTAATTTTTATTGTCTGTTTGCCAGAATTTCTATCTATAGATGGACGTGTGCCTTCTTAAGGGTTGATAATGTTGGGAGCATGCACAGGTTATTGTGCTTTTGTTGTTTCATCTTTCTGAATATTTCTTGAGATTGGTATCAAGAATGTTATCTCTTTTTCCTTGTTCTATTTTTTTTCCTTTGGTAAGTAGGCTTTTTAAGGGTAGCAATAAACGAGGAAAAAAAAGTATGTGTAACCAAGAAAAAGAACTAACAAGAAGTTGCTTAGAGCCTAACACAAACAAGGTCTGCATTTTTACACTGCAGTACAGGGAAAAAGGAACAAATGCTTTCATCCCAACTAACACACACAACTCAAGGTTGAAAAAGAATAGCATGGACATTAGCAGCAAGTGACTTCCAACAAACTAAAGAGCGGATTCTAAAAAAATATTTTTGGAATGAGTAAAAGAAAATAAGCATATGTGAAATTATCTTTCAAACTTAAAGGGAACTTTGCCAGAAGTAACGATAATCAGTGGTTTATTTTTAGAGGTGCCATAGGGAACTTTAGCAATGGGATTGTTACTTTGCCCCTCCCTGTTACGCACTTGTTCCTTAATGTGGAAAGAATTACCTGTTTTCCTTGAATTTTCTTCACTTTGAAGAGCAGGCCTTCTGTATGTCATTCAAATGAGTGCTGAGCAGAGTTTGAATATTGAGAAGCTTTTGCTGGGGCTCTAGACAATTTTGGGGTTTTAGCTCTTAGATACTGATATTGCATCATGATTACCCGATTTTTTAGACAGCATNGTGGAAAGAATTACCTGTTTTCCTTGAATTTTCTTCACTTTGAAGAGCAGGCCTTCAGTATGTCATTCAAATGAGTGCTGAGCAGAGTTTGAATATTGAGAAGCTTTTGCTGGGGCTCTAGACAATTTTGGAGTTTTAGCTCTTAGATACTGATATTGCATCATGATTACCCGATTTTTTAGACAGCTTTTGCAGATATATAAAAACACTTAACTAAAGGTGCCACAGGGGATGCAAAAAGAAGGAACTAAGCGAAACTTTATTAAAGGCTTGTAGCTCCTAAGAAATCAATAAGTGAAGGATTTTCCCAAAAAAGGATTTTTGACTGGCAGATCTGATATCAACTCTTGCAAATGCAGTTGATATTGACAGTAGCAGAGTAGTCTTATAAGAATGGGTTGGGGAAACCTCTCGATTTGTAATTATATCTTTGAAATAGTTGGAACTTTTTAACAGGTGGGCCATATCATAAAAGGGATGCAGAGTTTCTAATTACAGGGGAAACTTTTGCTTCTTGGTTTTAATGGCGGCTGAAGTAGTAAAATTGATCTAAGTTAGCTGATATGTTAACTTTTTGAATGTGGGTTTTGTCTCACAAACATTGTTATGTCCTTATGTTTCTCTTTACATATTTTTCTTGGTGTTAACTGCTAAGGATATGAAAATGCTATGGCAAGGTGAACATCTCCATCTTGAGGAAAAACTTTACTTCTACTATTGTTATTCGTTAACTGTATTGCTTATTTATTTTTGTATTTGTGGATCTTGATCACATTCATTTGACAATTATTCCTTCTTATGCAGATCAAGTTGCTAAAAATTCTGGCCGTACTAGGGAATGGTGACAAGCAGGCTAGCGAACACATGTATACTGTTGTGGGTGACACTATGAGAAAGTGTGATTCAACAAGTAATGTAGGAAATGCTGTTCTTTATGAGTGCATATGCTGTGTTTCCTCTTTACATCCAAACCCTAAATTATTAGAATCTGCAGCTGATGCAATTTCCAAATTTTTGAAGGTTTGTTATATGCAGCTAATGCATATGTTCGTTTTTTTGTATGCTTTGACTCATTAAATACATTCTTATCTGGTGGGCAGAGTGATAGTCATAATCTCAAATATACGGGTATTGATGCTCTTGGTTGATTGATAAAGATAAGTCCAGAAATTGCTGAAAAACATCAGCTGGCTGTTATTGATTGCTTCGAGGTAAGAGACAATATTTTTCTGCAAAGGAGTGTTGAATGACTACAACTTGAGTTTATGGGGTTATTGGAGGTGTCCACTGGCCAATGTTCTTAATCCCACTTGTTTCAGTCTACACTAAGTGATTTGTTTAAATGAGTTCATCGCCTGTGTTTGATGATTTGTGATACAGGACCCAGATGATACGCTAAAGCGAAAAACCTTTGAGTTGCTGTATAAAATGACGAAGTCCTCCAACGTGGAAGTGATTGTGGACCGTATGATTGACTACATGATAAGCACCAATGACAATCATTACAAAACTGAAATAGCATCCAGATGTGTTGAACTTGCGGAGCAATTTGCGCCAAGCAACCAATGGTTTATTCAGGTGCTTTTTTGTTTTTGGTTGCAATTTTCGCTTCAGATTGTATACTGATAACTTCATATGTTTGCTTTCTAAAACTACTAATGGTCAGCTTCTCCCAACTTGTTTACGTTACAGACCATGAATAAAGTCTTCGAGCATTCTGGGGATTTAGTGAATATTAAGGTGGCACATAACTTGATGCGGTTAATTGCAGAGGGATTTGGAGAGGATGATGGTACTGCAGATAATCAGCTGAGATTGTCTGCTGTATGTTTCCTGATGAATTTTATTTCTTGCTTTTGATCCATATATTTTGGGCCTCTTGCAGTTATCTGTCTATTTTTTTCTCTCTACATTAATGTGGCAGCTCCCACATTTGTAGTTGGCTTGACGTTCATGTAATGACCATCAAGGTCTATTATTGGGCTATTTTGCTGTGTTTGCAACACTATTCTGATGGACTTATATGTTGGATGCCTATATCCCCCTTTTTGGAGTGTGTAAAGGGTGGTAGCAGTGGAATCCAGGCAACCCCTATGAAAGAAAATGAAAAAGTGTTGTGTCAGCACTTAGTACCTAGAGTTGTATATCCAAGTACAGATGCTATGGAAGCAAAATAGGTAGTTGGTTTTCCATAACTATTAAGGGTTGCTAGGTTACTCCCTAAATTAGTAGTTTAAAAGCTAAATCAAAGTGACATATTTTTCGGGAACTTTGATGCTTCTTGAAACAATTTAATAAATAGATTCTTTTTTCTTCTTTTGATTTGGTAATGGAGTCTCAATACAGTTGGATAAACCTATCTTATTTTTTGTCAATCATCCATTCTTCGTGGTGTTGTTTGTCTTCCAAATTACATTATGCCATTGCAATATGTGAGCCCTGATTTAACTTGATAAAGCCTTTGTTCTTTACTTGATTTTCATATCATACCTCTAGTCCGGATTGGGTCCTGGTGGTATACAATGCACTAGATCCAGGTGATGGCCCATATCCTGGTGCATTATCCAACACTTATTATTATCTGGTTGATTAATTAGTATGTGTACTGGAGACTGGAATCCAGTTTGGACCTTAGCTGTATAATACTGTAGATCAAGATGTTAGCACATGATATGAACCTCACGTGTTTTCTCTCTGTACTCCACGATCGAATCCTCTAAATTGGAATTGGCCCCAGTTTACATATTGGTATTTTCAAATTGTTGGAAGATGCCCTAGACCATGTTCTTTGCCGCTTAACCTTCCACTTTCAATCTAGAGTAACAATCAAGAGATTGCAATAAACTCTCTCTCTCTCCATACCTGCGATATCAACATTCTCTTGAATTCCTTCTTTCTCAGTTTTCGTTCTCTTCAAGATTTTTAAAACCTTTCGGTTTTTCAGGTTCTCACTCTTGTCTTCTTGTAAGTGTATATGTTCACTGCCCTGACTTTCATATAATTCTTTTTCTNTCTCTTGAATTCCTTCTTTCTCAGTTTTCGTTCTCTTCAAGATTTTTAAAACCTTTTGGTTTTTCAGGTTCTCACTCTTGTCTTCTTGTAATTGTATATGTTCACTGCCCTGACTTTCATATAATTCTTTTTCTCCATCTGAGTCTCTTATATGTACTTAAAAGTAATCCCCTACAATTGCAAGTACATCTGGAAGCTTAAATGAGTTTCAATATAATCTGAATCATTTGTCTTTTCTTTTAAGCTGATTTTCTCAAATTAATTTGTAACGAAACTTTCAGGCATTGGAGTACTCGAGGTAAGTCCACCCCCCCAAAAAGAAAGGAAAACTTGAGGGCCCTCACCTCTCTCTCCTGTTTCCTTTGATCATTGTGTACTTTGGGATAGTAATTCCAATTATTGTTCGATCAAAAAACAGTATTATAACCCTTTCTTGATTCAACTCTGCAATTCTAAATTTGAGTTTCAACTTTCCAGGCCAGACCACCTAAATTTTGAGCATCAAGCATGTGATCCTCTCTCCTTTTCAGTTTGGAGACATTGTTTGCGTCCTAGCATCGTGTTCCACCTTTCGAGATCAACAAGCATTTTATTTCCCCCCCCTCCTCTCTCTCTCTCTCTCTCTCTCTCTCTCTCTCGCAATAGCTAAAGTTTGAGGACAAATACTTTGGCCCTTTTAAAAAAAATTNACCTTTCGAGATCAACAAGCATTTTATTTCCCCCCCCTCCTCTCTCTCTCTCTCTCGCAATAGCTAAAGTTTGAGGACAAATACTTTGGCCCTTTTAAAAAAAAATTTCTTTTATTTGTATGTTAATTAACTCTTGGGATCTTTTCTATCCTACCCAGTCCTAGTCTTTCTCCCTGCCATGGCCTCAGTCTTATTTTGCTTATCGGCGTCATTTATGCAGCTCACAATTGATACAATTCTAGTGTGTTTTTTTTTCTTGTCTGCCCTTTGGTTATATACATCAATTAGTGTAGTCCTGAGTAAACATTTTCTGGTTCCAATTTTCTTCTGTTCTAATGTGTAATATTTTCTTGGGTCAGGTGGAGTCATATTTGGCATTGTTGGAGAGCCTAAACTTCCATGCGCATTTCTTCAAGTAAGTTCTGTCTTATATAGGTTTCACCTTTCATATTTGTTCCGTACAGTAAAATTCCTGTAAACGCACACTTCTCTAGTTATCTGATGTGATAGTTTTGAGTTTCAGGTCATTTGTTGGGTCTTAGGGGAATATGGAACCGCTCATGGGAGGTATTCTGCCTCATATATCTCTGGGAAGCTGTGTGATGTGGCAGAGGCACATTCAAGCGATGACACTGTCAAGGTATCAATGAATTTTTTTCTGTTCCTGAAAATTGGGGACGCATAATTCATTGGCTGACCCAGTGGGGTTTTCTGTTTCTAACTTGAACTTTGTACTACTATGGAGATGCATTTGAGCTTCTATTGAGATGGGTAGAATACTATACTTTCAATTCTGCTATCAAAAAGTGTGGGAATTGTTTAAAGTAAATGGGAGTGTGGGGGAATTGTAAAAGAGCAAATATCCAACTTGAATGTTTGTGCACTTGAGTGTGTTATGATAGTTTGTAGTTGAAGATGCGTTTAAAACTGTAGATTTTATATGTTATTGTTGAATTGAATTTCGCTGCAACTGAAGCTTTTTTTGCTTATTTTTTGAAGGCATATGCAGTAACAGCACTTCTGAAAATTTACTCTTTTGAAATAGCAGCTGGGAAAAAATTGGAAATGCTGCCAGAGGTAAGTAACCCTAAACCATATTTGGTTTGCCCTATCATCCAACTCTATTTCTGTACTTAAGAAGTTGAGTACATGTGGCTATGTGCTGCATTTTAGCTTTGAGTCTAGCCTTTTGTGCTAATTGAAGCTTGTTCACTGTTTTTGGGTCAGAACACATTTTTGATGAGATTGTATCCCATACTAAAATTTTTTTTACAGCTTTATTTCCTTGTAGTAATGATAAATATCTGTCTTCATTTTTTCTCTTCACTGGCTATTTCTACGATCCTAATTATCTCCCACTTGGCTGTATTTTTCTACTTAAAGTTGGGGATTTGTAGTTTGCATTAATTGGTCTATGAGTGCAAAGGTGCAGTCCAGTTAGTTCAAAACATGTAAGAAGGTATTTGCGTTGATGGTTCTTTATTATTATTTTTTTCATAGATTAATATGTGACCTGGGCATTTTGTCTTTTTGCCTTTTGGGATAGAGTTGGTGTTACTGTTGATACCTTACTACGTTCTTTCCACTTGACGGGATGGTCTGGAAGCAAATGTGTGGTCCCCAATGTATGTTTTTGTGCATTTTGGATGGATAAAAATGGTTAAAATTTTCTAGACAATGTACTTATTTTTCAAGATGAGGCCCTTGCTGCCAAAGTAACTTTTTTTTTGGTGATATCCCCTAGATTTTTTTTAGCTCTTTGTTGGCTTTCTCTAGATTTGCTTTCCTTGTTGCAGGTTTTGAGCATATCTCATGTGTGCTTGGACTTATGTATCTTGTGATAAGATATAGTTATTTGTCAAAGTGGAAAAATGAGAAAAAGAATTTTTAGGGACTCAATATTCCATAATTACGAGTTGATATATCACTTTGGTGCAGATAAGCTTTGGACAATGAGTTGCATTTGCAAGCAGATTCGAGTTTTTCTTGAAGTTCAGTTTTTTTCTTTAAGGTTGTGAGTTGGCCATTAACTGGTGAAATGTTTGGTAGTGGAGAATGAGTATTAAAATGATTAGGTAGTGATAAATTGTGAAAATTATAAAGGGTTGAAGGAACCAGTCCATGACTTGACATCGGTAGAATGCTACCTCCAATTTCCCGTATGTTTGATAGAGCAAGAGCAAGCAAGTCTTAGGGAGTAGACGCCCGTGCAAGGACCTCCATTCTCATTAGGAGGTCGAACGGGCTGAATAATATTAGAATATTGCTCTCCATCTTCCCACCACCCAATACCCACCAAAAAAAAAAAAAAAAGAAGAAAAAGAAAAAATGACAAATGAACTGGTGTTTCTTGGAATGAAGAATTTTTGAGAATAAAACAAATAGAATGGTGGTGACTGCATCCTTGTTTGTGTGGTGGAAATTATTAGAAGTTCGTCTCGAGTTGATTGGAGAATTGATGCATGCAATTTCAAGGTGATGAATGGGGAAAAATTTGTTTAAGAAGTTGGTATAAGCGGGTTTTAGGGATAAACTTCTTATGTGAAAGACATTTGACTCTGCTAAGTAGTATTTTCAACAATTTGAAGTAAGGATTCATTATACTTGGATACCCCAGGGGCTTATGGGCTGTATATACATTCCTATTTAGTAAATTGCACATGAGAGTTGAAGTTTTTCCCGTGGTGGGATGGGTTGTTTGCTGATGAAGGTCCAGGAAACTTGGCACGAATCTGAAATTATTTAAAAATTATGAAAATTTCCTTCTCGTGTTTCAGTAATCTGAGCTGTAATTTATTTGGAGTCTTTTCAGCAGGTATGGTGGGGAAATAAGGAAACATTGGTTGTTATTGTTGTGTTCTTAATTCAAAAACTTCTCCTGCAACTAATCTTTTGGGAGTATACTAATTAGTTGTTCTCGCATGTGGATCTTTGGGTTATTTCTGAATTCTATTATCTGGACATTTCTTCTGCATCTTTTATGGAAGTACTCTAACTATATATTTGCATGATGTCAAATAGTCAAGTAGCTGTGAGCAAAGATCAAAATGTTGTGTCGACACGTCCGAAACGTTTCAGNGTTTCTATGCGTTTCCATATTTTTTCTGCGTTTTCATTGCGTTTTCGAAACGTTTCCAAAATGTTTCTATTTTTGATCTGACCGAAACGAAATTTCGATCCTTGGCTGTGAGGGTGACGTTTCATGAAAAAAATCCTGGGTGTATAAAGATCTCTCTTGGATGCAAAATTTTAATACAGGGTCTAATACTTGGGCCTAGAAAAGGTTGTTATAGAATGTGTTGCATTACTCCTTTGAGAGTTATTCGGNCAAATAGTCAAGTAGCTGTGAGCAAAGATCAAAATGTTGTGTCGACACGTCCGAAACGTTTCAGAATTTCAACACTCCGAAACGAAATAGTAGTTGAATCACAAAATTCCAGTGTTTCGCTCGAAATGGTACTGTTTCGGACCATTTCGGTCAAAACGGCACTGTTTCGGACCGTTTCGATGAAACGGTGATATATTCGGTTCACCATGAATAATTATATTTAATACCTCACTATAATTACATTTAATACCCACTGTAATTATATTTGATACCCACTATAATTATATTTAATATCCCATTATAATTACATTTAATTCCCATTGCTCTTTTGCCTTTTATAATTTTTTTGTTATAAGAATAAATAATTACACTTAATACCCTACTGTGATTATATTTAATACCTATTATAATTATATTTAATACTTACTGTAATTATATTTAATACTCCACTGCTGTGCAAGTCTTTTGCTTTTTTTTTTTTTTGTTGTAAGTATTAACAATTACATTTAATACCTTAATGTAATTATATTTAATACCCACTGCAATTACATTTTATTTTTAAGTATACATAAGTACCATTAATTTAATTTGATACCCTTCATTATCAGTATTATAATAAAATAGTATTATTAATTGGATAATATTATCGTAATAATATGAGTTGGAGTAACTATTGTCATTATATTTATGTCACATATAGAGTTTCTCTAAATAGCTACCTAGAGCCTACACCGATGTGTNTATAATTATATTTAATATCCCATTATAATTACATTTAATTTCCATTGCTCTTTTGCCTTTTATAATTTTTTTGTTATAAGAATAAATAATTACACTTAATACCCTACTGTGATTATATTTAATACCTATTATAATTATATTTAATACCTACTGTAATTATATTTAATACTCCACTGCTGTGCAAGTCTTTTGCTTTTTTTTTTTTTTGTTGTAAGTGTTAACAATTACATTTAATACCTTAATGTAATTATATTTAATACCCACTGCAATTACATTTTATTTTTAAGTATACATAAGTACCATTAATTTAATTTGATACCCTTCATTATCAGTATTATAATAAAATAGTATTATTAATTGGATAATATTATCGTAATAATATGAGTTGGAGTAACTATTGTCAGTATATTTATGTCACATATAGAGTTTCTCTAAGTAGCTACCTAGAGCCTACACCGATGTATGAGCCTGCTCGACACTCCACAGGGGAATGGATGTGGCCATGTAAGTATGTACTCATTAGCATTTCATGTGTATTATAAGACTTTAATATTATGTAAAAATGTGTTTATTTCATAAAAATTAAGTGTTTGAAACTAATTTAAGTAATTTTCGCCTCATGTCAAGCTTTTTTTTCCCTCCAATTTAAATTTATTCTTGTATAAATTGATGTTAACTTAATAAATATGTTGAATTAATCAATTATTTAGCTTATCTTTATAAATTAATGGATTGTATTTGTGTTTCTATGCGTTTCCATATTTTTTCTGCGTTTTCATTGTGTTTTCGAAACGTTTCCAAAATGTTTCTATTTTTGAGCTGACCGAAACGAAATTTCGATCCTTGGCTATGAGGGTGACGTTTCATGAAAAAAATCCTGGGTGTATAAAGATCTCTCTTGGATGCAAAAATTTAATACAGGGTCTAATACTTGGGCCTAGAAAAGGTTGTTATAGAATGTGTTGCATTACTCCTTTGAGAGTTATTCAGTCGATTGGTTGGTCACGAAAAAATTCTACTTTTATATGCATATTATTATGTATAAATTGTTGCCTTGTTTCCCTTATTCAGTGGGTAATTTGGTTGTTTAAGATAAACATGTTAGGTCCAAATACATATGCATGATTACAATAGATATGTTTTCATATTATAAGCAATATGCCTGTCAGTGTGTTGTTTAATTAGCATCATAGGAACCTCACTTGGTTAAGATATTTTGACCAATAAAGAACTTCTCAAAATTTCTTACTTTGCTGCAGTGCCAATCCCTGATTGAAGAATTATCCTTGTCCGACTCAACGGATCTGCAGCAACGTGCTTATGAACTTCAAGCAGTCGTTGGTTTGGATGCTCATGCTATTGAGGATATAATGCCACTGGATGCAAGTTGTGAAGACATTGAGGTCATCTTTATGTCTGAATCAATCTAGTTCTTCTAAAAATCACTTTCGGGATAATTGTCCCATTGGTATTCTTCCTGCTCAGCTGAAAGAGATATAGTAGTTAGATTACCTTGTTTGGTTCAGTGACTTCACAAAATTATTCTGAGTGTTTAATGCTTGAGTTTGTTGTGTTACCATGGGCCTGTTTCCATGCCTTATAGCAGTGGTCTATTGTCCATGTATCAATGAATGCCTCCCCTGTTATATTTGGCAGATTCTTATACTAGGTCAAACAGAAACTATAGAATGTCACTTTGAAATGGCATGACCATTAAATATCGGGTTGTGTGCATATTTATTATAAGATTTTGAATCCAATTGATTGATACTCATCAACTTGGCTGCTATAAATTGCTGTCCGTTGCAAAGTTTACAAGGACTAGTGGATGAGGTTTAAGCATGATTTTAAGTTTCAATAGTAATTAGATTGCTAGCTGCGTTAAAACTATTGTTTTGAGTATTTTTATATTCAAATTAATCAGGAAGAAAGAACTGAATATGTGCAGCTCGAATTTGTCAGTTTTGCCCAGGTTACTGAAGCATAACATGCTAATGTATATTTTCTGGCTTTCGCTTGTCGGCTTTTGTGTCTTCTATTTTGATTGCTTGGCTATATTTGTCTCTTCTTCCTGTTGATTTGCTGTTCCAAACATTTTCAATAAATCTTTTTCTTCGTGAAACCTCACTTAAGTTGCACTTGTAATTGAGTATTGCGGATCAATAGATAAATATTATATATAAATGATTTTAGTTATTAATTGTTTTCATTTTTTCTTGGTGTCTGAAAGATCATGAATAGCTTGATGTCTTGATGGAGAGCAAGTGCATGGCATGCATTATGCAATGAACAAAAAAATTGTGTCCTTGCACACATATGTCTACATATGATTGGATAGTGTTTTATTTTGTTTGTGTTCAGCTTTGCAAACTTGTAACTATCCGTCTACTTGACTTTCTTGTTATGTTAGATCGTTCTGGTATACTGAGAGACATCTATAAATTCTTGTTCCAGATCAATAAGAGCCTCCCACTTCTCAACAGTTACGTCCAACAGGCATTGGGAAAGGGGGCTCAGCCCTATATTCCTGAGAGTGAGCGTTCTGGAATCTTAAACGTCAGCAACTTTAGAAGCCAAGACCATAATGAAGCTTCAACACATGCTCTTAAGTTTGAAGCCTATGAGCGTCCAAAGCCCTCCTTGCCATCAAGGACAACTCCTGTTGCTCTAGCATCCTCAACTGAACTTGTTCCACTACCTGAGATATCTTATCCTGGTGAGGTCCACCAAGCTGTATCAATGCCATCTTTGGCTGGTACGATGTCATCAGAACTCAAGCTACAACTTGATGAGGTTCAAAGGAAGTGGGGCAGGTCAGCGTACTCTCCTGAGCCATCTACTTCGAACTCTGATTCCCACAGGACTGTGAATGGAGTGACACATAATGTGGCTGGCAGTGTAAACTCAACATCACGTGAGATTTCTTATGGTTCAAGAAGGCTGGAAGTTGAGATTTGTCCCGAAAAGCAGAAGCTTGCTGCTTCACTCTTTGGGGGTGCTTCAAAATTGGAGAAAAGGCAATTTTCTAGTAGCCATAAGGTTTTAAAGACAAATAGTCATGCAGTGGACAAGTCTCATGGAGCTGAGGTAGCAATTTCTTCTGAAACTGCTTCAGTGCAGACAACTCCTCTGCAGCCACCTCCAGACTTGCTTGATTTGGGTGAACCAATTCTTAATAGTAGTGCCGCAGCTGTGGATCCATTCAAGCAATTGGATGGTCTTCTTGATCTATCCCAAGATACTTCATCTCTAGATTCTGGTGCTGCTGGTGCTAGCAAAGGGCCTGATATAATGTCACTGTATACAGATATGCCTACAAGCGGAGAGAATGATAGTGTTGCAAATGCTCTTTCAAACACTATTGATGATGCTTATATAATTTCTGGCTTCTCAAATGCTGCTAACAGAATTGCTCATGGAGGAAATATAATCAGTCAACCGAAGCATTTGAGGACAGGCTCAAATCCTAAAGATTCTTTGGAAAAGGATGCACTTGTGAGGCAGATGGGCGTGAATCCTTCAAGTCAGAATCCCAACCTGTTCAGAGACTTGCTTGGCTAAAATAAATGGAGTTTCTTTATTTGGTGTGAAGTATGAATTGCATTCTTTGAGAATATTGGTGTCTGATCCTGGCACAGGTTCTCCATCCACATTGACATAGTTGGTTAATCTAAGAGAACATGTGATGAAGAAAAAACTTAACTCAGAGATAGAATATGCAGAAGCGCCCAGAATGGAGAGGTTCAAACCTCCATCAGTAGCATTAAAACCGGGTATAGATTTGAATCTGTTGCAGGACAATATAATTTTTGTATAAATAGGGTCAGAGCTGGTGATGGGAGAGGGTTGGGGGCCTTGGGGCCTTTAGGCTTTGAAGCACTCCAGGGACTATAGAATTGAGTGCGTCCCTTCTTAAAATAATGTTGTACCTTTTCCCTTGTCCGAGAACCTGTTCTTGTTCATTGAATTTGAGGCAACAAGCTATATGGTTGTGCAAGGGATGTTGAGTGATTTTCATATGGTTCCAACTAGTTTTACTATTCTTTGCCATTTTGCCATCAGCAAGAGAGAACTATTGCAAACCTTCTTTGCCATTTTGCCATCAGCAAGAGGGAACTATTGCAAACTATATGTCACTTGATGGTACAGTTGTTTAATTGCTGTCTTTTATACGCCAGAATAATGATTGTAGAGTCTATTACCGTATCAAAATATATTTTTCAGAGTTATTTATTTTGCATTCTTTTTAAACAATAAGGGTAGTTTAAGTGATAACAAGGATAAATTATAAATTCAGACGTTTTGAGTTCAAATTTTGACTATTTTTTAGGGTCAAGTTATGAATGATTTATCTCTCGTGAATATTTTAGTTTTGACGTGGAGGACCGGACAAAGGGACTAGTTGATGGGCACACAAACACAAATTAGTCCGAACACCTCCGATCGATGAATAAAAATAAAATAAAATTGCTACGTGTAAAGTTTTATTATTTTACTATAAAATGCTAACGATAATGATGTAAAGTTTTATTATTTTACTATAAAATGCTAACGATAATGATTCAAGGTTGGTAATTTTCATCTAAACAATTTTAGGTGCACCTTAACCATTTTATGATCCAATCAAAGGCAGACCATAATTTATATTGCTGGGTGTCCAAGTAGAGTAAGTCACATTGGTTTTAGACAAATTTTATATGGTATTGTGTACGATGAAGATTCATGTTGGCCTTTTGATTAAGTAAGTTCAGCGTATAAACCCGGTTATGACTCAACTGTCAAGTTAAACCTATCGATTTGGTGTCAAATTAACAGACTAAAGTAATTACCTTCCTAATTTTGAGTGAGAACATATATAAAATATGATAATTTATTTCAATGTTTTTGGTTAACATTGTCCTGGACATAACAAATGATACTTAATCAACACCAGAGGAGAGATCTACTAGAAATCTCGCTCTACAACTTTATTTCACACAGGTGAACTAGCCTCCCATGTGAGTATGATAAGAACAAACACATCCAACGTAGCAGCAACGAACAAAAGAAGAAGAAGAAGAAGAAGTAGAAGAAATGGGTCGACACGAAACCGGGTAAATAAAACTAATATCTAAGGGCACTTGGACTTTCCTTTGGAGTTGAGTTTGTTCATGTAGCAAGGGCATTCTGACTTGTTCCCATATGTACCCGAAGGAACGCAATTGCATGCTGCACAGCAGATTCCACAGTACTTCATGCAACGTTTCTTCAAGCCTGCTTTTGAGCACCTCACTGAACACTTATATTTGCAGAAACCTGTAAGTAATTACCAAATAACATGAAAGGAAGAGAACTAATTAATCAATATAAAATGCTCCTTGTTTGAAGATAAAATTCAGGCAAAAAGAGGTGGTGACAATAGTAGAAAATCTTAATTACTTGAATAAGCCATGGTGGTTTGAAGGAAAGAGAAGCTCAGAAGCAGTGAAACAATCAACAAAGTAGCAAAGGCAGGCTTCATTCTTTTCTGATTTTAATTGAAGAGAAGCCAATGGTTAGAATGGAAAAATAGAAAGGGGAATGGAACAGAAGTATTCGAAGAGGCTAACAATAGATTGAAGTGAAGAATTTAGGAGAGTTTACGTGGATATTTATAGTTGCTGTAGAAGGGTGGTGGATTATCTGCCATGGCCATGCTGGCATATATGTTTATTGTGTCCAAATGGGGAAGGTGGGTTTGGTGTGGGGGTGGGGGCGGGGAATAGCATCATACAGATGTATATGGTGGCTTTGGTGGTTCCTGTCTATTGTTTATCTAAGGAATTCTTTGAAGGTTGGTAGCTTCTTTTGTAGTTTTGTAAAGTTTTTTTTTTTTTAAAATTTTTTGTCGGAATGCTTTTTTTGTTTTTGTCATTAAAAAAGAGAGTAAATAGGGGCGAACAGATGTAAATAGGGGCGAACAGTTATAATTAGACTCCAGTCCCGCCAAACCTTGAGAAACAAGTTTGCGGATTACTTTACGTGCATTGAATACTTGTTCAAAATTAATGCAGGTGTATACCTACTACTGGATGGTAGATTACAGGCTGTCTGACTTTTTTACTGAAGCTGAAAGTTTGACACTCTAAGCACAAGCATGGAGTAAAGCACAGATAATGCTTTTGATTATTTGTGGGTCTGTTATTATTGCTGTTTTTTTCTTCTTATTTGGTTACCTTTTAGCCTAACAGGAGGAGGTTCTATTTGTGTATGTCTATCTGTATCACTATGTATGTGTTCCATTTATATATATAGTAGTCATATAAGCAAGCATGTAATATNAACAGGAGGAGGTTCTATTTGTGTATGTCTATCTGTATCACTATGTATGTGTTCCATTTATATATATAGTAGTCTTATAAAAAACTATCCTAAAGCTAATTATATATGTATTCTATACTCAAGCAAGCATGTAATTTAAGTTTATGATAATGAAAAAGAAAGTACAAAAAGGATAAAATTACGTTTATTGTATCTCAAATAATGTATTAAAATCAGGTGCATTGAATGTTTGGTGTAAGTTAATGGATCCTACTGATTCAACCAACCATGTTGATTTAAAATACAAAACTTGATAAATATAACATTACTCATATAAAAATAGAGCAGTGCTATTAAAACCTGGAAAAATCTAATTCATTGGCTTGATAATGTATCATTGACATGAGTCAATAATAATGAGGCCGCATCAGTTATTTTTTTTTTTTGCTAAAGGATATCTAAATTTGCGCTGATTACTTCCTCAAGTTTAGTGACTGACTAACGTAATTTGAATTAATCTAGAGTATGTCCCCAAAGGGACACAAGGGTGGCTAGCCTTTAATGGTGGTCCAGTAGTTGAACCTGTCTTTTGATAATTCAAAAGTCTTAGACTCAAACCTTTCCCAAAGCATCATGGAAAATAGGTAATTTCTGAGAGTCCCTATCCTTTTTTAGGTTCACTAATTAGGATTCTTATNGTGACATAATGTATTGATTGCAAATTATGTAACGCCACAAAAATTAATTTCACTCAATATCATCATAAAAATTAGTTGTGAGTGTGCATTATTAATGATATCAGTTAGGTTTCTAATCTAATTTTGTAGCACTTTTACTTTTTTTTTCTTTTAGTCATCAGGTTCATCTAAGTATTCGTCTTCGTCGATAAAAAAAATAGTTGTTCGATTNACCCATTTTGACCTCGATCATTCTTCTATGAAATATCTATTTTATCAATTGTCACAGTTCATAATCAAGTCCACCCTGAATTTAAGTCCATGAATAGAAGGCGGATTGCTGCTTCCTGGTTTGTGTCGAGTAAGAGCAATTTTATGTAACTCAAACTTGCAATCCAAATTTTCATCCCAAAATGAAGGAAACCATTAAATCAGTGAATCTCATTTAAAAAGGTTGATGGAACCACTTATCCAACAGTTCCCTTAATTTGAAATAAAAATTTAGGTTACATAGTATTTCCTTTTCTTTTTCGTCATGCATGTTGATATACATTAATGCTGCACAGGCTGTCTCCGAGTGGATATTTTGAAACTCGGAACATGAACGTACCCGGCCTAGTTGTGGATGGTGCTTTTGATACTTCAACGTTTTAAAAGTCCCACTTGTTTTGGTTAGACCACAACGAGCTAACACTGAAGGTTCCTTCAGCTGTGTGTGAGAGAGAGAGTTGGTATAGTAACTGTCCCAGATCTATAATACTTCCTTCGAGCTAATGGCAAAGCAATCTTTTTTCCTCCGGCTGCCATTCCGAGGTTCTTACATAAGCAACCATTTTTATGTTTAATAAAGTTTTATTCCAATTAGCCGAGATGGTTATCTGAATTTTACTTTGCTATTGTGCTCTACCAGTCACGGATGATAGTGGATCGAAAAAAAATGAGTATTCGTTTAAATCTGTCCCATTTAAATTGGAGATTGACCCTACGTATCGAACGGTGAACATATACAAAAATACTCGTATAAACTCATATGGGATTGGATTGAAACTCATCCCCGTGTCCCTCCCACCTTGCTAAACCCATAACATGTACATATTTGAAGCAGATATGGGGTGGAGACTACTCCCCTGCGCCCGCCCCATTCCACTTCCATCCCTACTATCAATAGTTACATGCATCGTTTCAGGATTTTGTCACCAGGAGGGGAAAAATAAGATCCAATAAAAAAAGTGTTGTGGTTAAAATTATATTAAACGGTATCACTCAGCAAATTTTTACTATTAATGCCACACTTTAATTGTATAGAACCTATCCAATCAATTTTATATGGTAAATTTAGGTCATAGAATTTAAAGTTAATTTGTACTTATTATGTGACAGTTAATTTGAGATAATATTACGATTTATTTCTTCCGTCACTTGTGACATAATGTATTGATTGCAAATTATGTAACGCCACAAAAATTAATTTCACTCAATATCATCATAAAAATTAGTTGTGAGTGTGCATTATTAATGATATCAGTTAGGTTTCTAATCTAATTTTGTAGCACTTTTACTTTTTTTTTCTTTTAGTCATCAGGTTCATCTAAGTATTCGTCTTCGTCGATAAAAAAAAATAGTTGTTCGAATAATATCTTCCTTTTGGTTATCAAAGTTAGGTCATTAAGGTCTTTGAATAATCTAAAAAAATATGTTTACTATATATGAACATTTTTAAAATATAAAAAATAGACATAGGATTTTCAAATACTAGGTAATTTTAAAAATAGGAGGGGTGGTCTCCATATAGTTTCGTCCCTATTCACATGATTAGGTATATTTTTTTACTTTCTCATTCAGTGTTAATTTCATCTTAACACTATAACAAAAAGCATGTTTTACTCCTTCCTTGAAGGTCTTAATGGGTTCTTGCTCTAACTGCTAACTGCTAACTTACGAGTTTTCTCTTTCATGGGATATAACTTAGTTTTTTTCTTAGCATACTTAATAGGCCTTGCATCATAATCAAATGCAAGAACTCTTACTATTATTAATTGTGAAATTAAGTATTTTAAATGTACCATGCTCCATCTATTCCAGATCAAACCAGACAACTTATTTCTTTCAAATGAAATGGCATTAATTTATTCTTGTTGTGTATAAATTTGATCTAACTCACACCTGATCCAAAATAAAATTTTCTGAATTGTAACTGTGAAATTTCACGAGCCTTAGTTCATGGAACGGTGGGTTACTTTGACAATGGACCCCATTCAACATAGGAACTTAGTGCTAATTTACCGGATGCAATAAGTTAGGTTAGTAAGTTAGGTCCAAGTACACTACTCTTTTTCAAATAACCCATTTCTTAATATCTGATCTACTTAAGAAATTAGGGTTATTTTGAAAACCTGGTCCAATTAGAAAATAAAGGTTTTTGATCTATATAGATTATAAATTGTAAATTCATGTTTTTTTAACCGTGTTGCAAATTCATGTTAGAATGGAGTAGTTGTTTTCATCCTCTTGTTTTGGATAATTCTTTTTAGTCTTCAGCGTTTTATAGTAGACTTCAGCTACAGCATTTCAACTAAGAATGTAGACTTTAGAGCCAAATCATGTCACCTTGTTTATTTCAGACATAAAGTTTTTATGCAGAAGTTAAGGAATTAGTGAGTGCAATGGTAACAACTCAGAAGCCTTACATGAGGAGCTAAGTAGTACATATCTATATGATGGGACATTTTCGAAACACCCCAAGATGAAGACACGTGTCCTCGGTGTTAGAAGATCGAAGGCTGGGGGGGACGAGATGGGATATCTCCGGAATGCTACAAGATGAAGACACGTGTCATNACCCCAAGATGAAGACACGTGTTCTCGGTGTCAGAAGATCGAAGGCTGGGGGGGACGAGATGGGATATCTCCGGAATGCTACGAGATGAAGACACGTGTCCTCGGTGCCACTAATCCTTGACACCGAGATCACGTATACTTCGATTCACAAGTCCTTCTCCCCCCGAGGTATTTGTCAGGGATCCCAGTAGTTTATGCACCAACACGTATCCCTCGGTCTGACATAGGTACATCGGTTGATATATGTACCAATCCCCCCCTCGGTGCCGATATGTACCAATGTCCAGGATGACATCCTTTNAGTAGTTTATGCACCAACACGTATCCCTCGGTCTGACATAGGTACATCGGTTGATATATGTACCAATCCCCCCCTCGGTGCCGATATGTACCAATGTCCAGGATGGCATCCTCTTCTCCTGCAGAGCTACTGATGTACAGGTCACTAGCCTAGGCTAGGCTAGGTTAATCATCATGACCTCGTCCTACACGATCGATGTCAGAAGGCACAGAGATGCAGGGGACACAGCCAATCGAGAATGGACGCGTGACATATTGTGTCACATCAGATACAAAAAGACCGCATGCCCTTGCTGACACACGACTTGGGAAAACAAACATTTAATTACACCATTCCCTTGATGAGACCGCATTCAATGCGGTAAGGCTCGGAATTGAAAGGCAATAAATGTCTCTAAGGCTGGGCATTTATTGCATCCTCCCTGAGTGGAGCTCATTGGACAATCGGCAGCCCGATGACACAG